GCTGCTGCTGCTGATACTACTACCACTACTACTGCTACTACTACTACTACTACTACGACGACGACGACGACGACGACCACTACTATGACGACCACTACTACGACGACTACTACTACGACGACGACGACTACTACTACTACTGCTACTGCTACTACTACTACTACTACTACTACGACGACTACTACTACGACTACTACTACACCGTCTCCTGCGCCGGTGTAGAAAGAAACTAGACCCGAGACCCTTCCCAGCATGGGACTGCAGGGCCTTCTCGCCTCTCAAGAGGGGTGCACCCGAAGGGGTTCGAGAAACAATCTGTTCGAAATCCGAAAACCGAAATGAGGACGAACACATTAAACAAACAACAATAATAACACTACAGTAGGAATCAAAGCAATGTTAATGTTCGAAGGCCGGCCTCGACTCGCAAGTGCTCGATCTTCGCCTCCTGGAAATAGGGATGCGCTGGTTTCATTTCTTACCATTACGTTTGTCGTATATCGCTCGCATTTTGTCATGAATGCGCCCATGTCATAAGGGCCCTACATAATAACTACCGCGCTGGAAGGTAGCGGAGAACCTTCGCGAAGAAAATGCAAAGTCTGAGGTTTGACTTGAGGTTGCGGATCAAACTGTGAAGGACAAGAGGCAGTTTGTTCTGCTGGGTGCTTGAATCAAACATTCAACCTATGCAGAGTGCGGATGAACCGTGCCCCTGCTTCCGAAAGTCAACAGAATTTGGGCATTGGGCCTAGGGGACTGTGACATGTTTTGACGGGTCGAGGTTGAATTTTACGAATCGCAAGTACCAAAATTTTGATTCGCAACCCACACCCTATTCTCCAAGCCTTCGACCTGAAACAACAACCTTGCACTTGAAAGTAACCCCAAAGCTCGATGTATCCGGTGCCAGAGTACGTTTGTTGTTGCCATGTTTTCTTTAGGCATGCTGAAGGAGCTTAAAGTTAAGTAAAGGATTCGGCTACAAACGGTCCAACTTGCTATCCTACTGTGGACTTACATAAGCTCATTCAGCCGATACCTACAGCGTAGCTGCCCCGCAGACAGGCTTGGACCCACACATCTGGATTCTTGAGCTGTTCTTATCTGCCAAAGAACACAGGCTAGAACTGCACGTGAACCCTAAACTCTTTCAAATAATTAGGACCACCCATAGACACTGAACGCCCTTGAACCCTTAACCCCAAAACCCTCGGAAGGCAAGGTCCTGCTCGGCCACGTCGGTTGACAGGGTCTTGATCTGAGCTCGCTTGTCTGCCAGCTCGCGCTCCTGGCATCTTGTTTAGGGTAGTGCTTTTCTGAGGGAACCCCACTTCGCAAGGACAAGCCTGTTCGGGGTTTGTGGAGATTTGGGGACATGTCCAGGTTTCGGGCTTAGGATGGGGATCGTTGGGATTCGTCATTAAATTTAAAATAGTTGGGTCTTGCTGTGGGGCCTGTAAGGGTGAGTACCTGGAGCGCGATGCGTTTCACATGGACACTCCACCGGGGTGCTATTTATGCGGTTGCCGTATGAATCAGCATCTGCTGATGATGATATCCACAGGTCTTTTTGGAGCTCATAATCACACTAAGCGGCCTTTTTTGTAGGCACTTGGAGCCAAGGTTGTTCTAGGATAGGCTCCAGACCATACGGTGCTTCCAACTTCCAAGACACATTCATTTGCGCAAAACCTACCCGCGTCCTCAAGACATAGAGAGAGAGAGACAATTCAAAGCGTGCCCGCGCTCAATCGAAATCCAGGTGAGAGCTGTGTATGCCAGGACTGGGCCAGACATCTAATGCTATACAGTAGACTCTTGTCCTCAACTGGGGCCCAGTACTTCGATCATGGGGATACATGGCAATGCGGTGTTCGCCTGTTCAAGTTCAGTCACAGGGCAGAATGCAGAATCGTGTTTTGGCCACGGCAGTGGGGCTTGGCGAGCAGAGAAGCCTAAACGTAGATGCACCAAACTACACAATGATGCATCCCTACAGCTCAAAAACTGTACAAATGAGCAAAGGCGAGCTCAAAGGCCCTCAGGCAAATACAGAATTGACAATGCACGTTCGAGCCACTGAGCCACCCCCAGTGCTCGCCCACTCAACACTTTCAGCACAAGGTCCGGGAAAGCCAATCCAATCCCTCATGCAAGCCTTCTCCCGTTGTGGCGCAGGCAGATTGGATGAACCACTGATGGTGCAGGTCGTTCAGCCCGAGCTTTTCCGTGACGTCTGCTGCGGTCATTGCATTCGGCATATCCTGCTTGTTGGCAAAAACCAAAACTACCGCCTTACGCAGTTCGTCCGCCCTCAACATTTTGTTGAGCTCCTCGCGGGCCTTCTGCATGCGAGCATGATCGTGGCTGTCAACCACGAATATCAGCCCCTTCGTGCCGTGGTAGTGTTGCCGCCTCACGGCGCATATTTTGTCGTGCCCACCAACGTCCCACACCTTGCCGTCCAATACAGACGAAAACTACTGTTTTGGAAGTTTTGGCCTTTGCGCCGGCCGGCTGAAGAGTGCTTGTAGTTTGCGAGATCCAGGGGTAAACAGTCAGTAAGAATGAAGAATATAGTGATAGCGGGCTCTCGACTTTGACGGTGTCGCGGTGCTGGGCTTCAAGAACTTGGGCTTTGCAATGCTGACTGTCTTGCTTTCCTTTTCCTTGTGGTTGGGAGCCCTGAAGGCATGCCCATCCGGCCCGGCTAGCCCATAAAAAAAACCCATCTAGGTTTACAGTCACAAGAAGCTACAACTACACAACCACACAAAGAAATACTGCCTCACAACTAAACACATGAAGGAGGCCGTGACTGTCAGACCATCCCAGCAACATCCGGCAGCGGCTTCCTAGCCCTAAAGCAAGTACCCAGCACTACAGCCAGATTCCCGCAGGTGCGACTTCTACGGGAGGTCAGTGGTGATAAAACGCTCAGGCACACACATGCACATTCAGTACTCGTAGACTGTTCAACTCTAGCTATCCTGAGGGACACTTCGGAGTCAACCAGCTGCCGGATGGTTCTTTTAGTCCTTCGCCCCATCCAGTAGCTGATTCCCTAAAGCTTCCCGGAGGATATTGGAGGAATCGTGCCATGGCTTCTATTTTTTTACCCGGGTATGACAAAGTCGGCGACCTGTGACCACCGACTGCTCTAGTTCAAGCCTTCCTTACAAGTTTGAACTGTACCACGAACCGGCGCCGAAACGCAAAAAAGATAGAGTTTCAGAACCAAGACACGGTAAATGACACGTTCTTATGCTCCACAGTCTCAACATTGAAGCCGATAGTGGGGATCGTGGTGACCACTTCGTCAAACTTCAGCTTGTAGAGAATGGTGGTCTTGCCCACCGAATCCAATCCTACCATCAAGATTCGCATGTCCTGCTTGCCGATCATGCGCTGCCATATCTTCGTGAAGACCAGGCCCATGGCTCAGAAGCTTCTCCAAAGTCAGGCAGGTTGCTGGGAGAGATCATCGGGTGAGCGGGAGCCAGTAGAGGTTCGGCAGTGAACAAGTCAAGTCAAGCACACATGATATTTGTTGAAGCTATGCGGCTGTGGCTGTCGATGGCCGAGGCGCTGCTCAACAAAGAGAACATGGAACCAAACGTTCGAAAGTGTCGGCTGGGACCGTAAACTTTAAACACAACCCAACGTCGACGCCAAACCGCGGAAACACCTTGCGTCCGAACATCCTGGAGCATCCTTCATACACTCCACGGCTATGAGCTCTGTGTTCCAAACTTCACAGTCTCAAAACACAAAGGGACTCAAATCTTGGCAAATCTGATCGCTCACAACAAGACTTGTACAGATAAGAGAGTGTAACCCTCAACTCTTCACCACCGAACAGCGCAGGGTCACTCTCGTGCGGAAAAGACTACAAACAGCGACAAGAACACAACAGTCTTGCGGTGTGATGACAGGTCCCAGCAGCCCTCAAGAGGAAGTGGCGAGTTCCGAGGAGCACTGTCCCCAGCGAAGCTGAGCGGGACGTATCTACGGGGGGCCAAGGCCACCAACGCATGCAGAGCTGGAAATATGATGTAGAGGAAGTCAGAGAAGCTACTGCAACAAGGTCCTCCCTTTAAGGATCCCGTGGGACACAGGTCGGCCTTGGCCTGAAGACGCTCCGAGTAGTCGGCGTGAGCCGCCTGGGAGCGGCGCTTGGACTCAGACGACTCGGACACTCCAGGCCTGAAGCTTGGGTTTCCAAGCTTGAATAGGGCTTGAATACTATAATATGGGTGTAGGACTGTTGGACTCTGGAGGGCAGACCTGAAGGCCAAACAAACCATGAGAGTATGCAAACATGAGAATCCAATTGAAGCAAAAGGGCAAGTAGCGACCGTGGTGCAGTAAGACTCGAAAGCTGCAAACTATGCCGGCAGAGATGCAGTCCCCATAACATAACTGCAGGATTAACCACGATGACTCGACGATGACCCTTTACCTCGCTCTCTCCACCAGTGAGAGACAATTGAAAAAAGCCTCTCTCCTTAGAAGAACGATGTGACTGGGAGTTCGCGATGCAGACAAGCGGTGCTGCTGCGGACGTGGTCAGTGGACGTGGCCCGCATCAAAATGGTGTCTCGTCACGGTTACTCCAAGCTTAGCAACTGCGACGAGCACAAAAACATTCAGCCCGAATGTTTCGACAAACATTAGCCCAACAATCCGCAAAATTATCCGCAAGTCCACCTTGAAGCGAACAACTCCGACTGTTTAGGATGTGTACACGTGAGACATGAGTGTCTAGGGTCTAGGGCCTCCAGGGCTTGCCAGAATCACATAAACCGAAAGCTCCAGAAGACCCTGGGAAAGCCCCCGCAAAACATCCCAAAAGTTGACAACCTCAAATGGTCTCCAAAACCGCACAGCACTTACAGTCTACGCCACAAAACTTGCCAAACTCGCAGTCTCAAATCTAACACCCATCTCCTGACTTTGAACCTTGCAAACTCACGGATGTTGAATCCCCCGAAACCCTCAACCACCACCTGTAGTTCGCCGATGCATGCCTTGTGGAGGGCTTCCACCTGCGCTGGGAGGGCAGCCGGTTTGGGCTGGATCTGTGACTACGCACGTATTCTTCGAATTAGTACAAAAAGCTGAAGGAGAGGAGGGTTGCTCCTCCTGAAGATCCGTGTTGGACCTTGTTGCCCCTCTGCGATCCAGGAGCTGCAGCACCCAAGTCTCGAACTGCCTCGCTCTCTCTCTTCGAAGTGCGATCGTGAGTGATCTGCTGAAGAGCATCCTTTTTCTGGCAGTCGAGGCTATCCGCACACGAAGTGGCAGTCAGGTATCCTCTCAGGGAAAGTGGTGAGAGAAAAGGGTTTTGGCATCGGGCTGTGTGACGTGGGACTTTGACGGTTTGGGATGCAGGACTGATTGTCGGATTTCAGCATCTCTGATTTTCGACTCTTTATGTCCAGGCTTTTTCTGGGTCTTGAACTCTGAGGCTTGCCTTTCGCCTTGGGGCTCACTTAGCGGGCAAGTCTTGGGCTTCAGGGCGTTCGATGACTTCAGGAAGTAGGGCTCGGCCCGAAAGCAACACACAGATAGCAAGACACCAGAGCCACAAAGAGTGGAAGACTTGGTTCTGAAACCATGGACCTGCATGATAGATCCCGCGGAGCCAAGGCCGCGGAGTGGGATATGACAGGTCAGGTGCAAGCTGTCTCCCGGTGCGTACGAAGGAGTGGCTAACGACGAATACAGGCCACTTCTAGCCTGTGAAACATCCAGTCTCTTCTGTAGTTCCAAAACCCAAGCGCCGCTGCTCATAAGCCTGCGTGAAACCCAAATACTGTTCGGCTTGAACAACCCAGCAAGCCTGAACAAACTAGACTGAAGTATAGGACAGGGTCCATAGTTCGTGGTGGTGAACCCTTTGCAAGTCCCAGAATCGTGTCATCACGGACAGGACAGCGTCATGTCCGTATCCTCTCACAAACGACCGAGCTGAAATATCTTCCAAGCATCCTGCCTTGACGACCTTCTTTGCCAGCTTCCTCCGTTGCTTCTTCAATCTAACCTTCGCTGCCAAATGGAGGCTCTCTCTTGCGCCTCTTAGCCCCATACAATATCTCCTGAACGAAAACCACACCATGACGGCTCTGACAAAAGAAGCCCAACTAACTACCTTTTTGCAACAGGCTTTCCTCAACTCCCACACAAACACCCGCAGCCCAAGTCACCGGCTTCTTCGGCTCGGCGGCTGTTGCCGTGGCAGCCTCGAGAGTTGTGGAAAACTCGGGGCTGCGAGTGTTCGGTGATTTCTCCACCTGCATTGCTTGATCATGTCCGCTCGGCAGAACAGCACGTCAGTGCGCAGGGTGCAGAAGGCTATTTAGCTAGGGCCAGCTACGAGTAGGGTATGGGCAGTGGGCTGGGTTTAGGGCTTGTTCGAATAACGGAGTGGTTGCAAAGAAGTTTCAGTTCAGGCACTGGGGCTACAAAGAACGACTAGCGAGAACCTGGGTAACGGGCTTGCCAGGTCTCTCAAACCATCTTCCACATGGCCGGTGCCATTCCAAGCGATTTAGAGCTCGACCACTAGCTTGACCAACCCTGAACTCTGAAATTTTGAATCCTTGCTGCCTCTTCCACCGGTGGCAGGGCCAACTGCGTTTCAGGCGCCTCTACATGTGAGCTTTTCAGGACCATGTTGGGCAGCACGGGTGGGGTGGAGGCTCCAGGGTATAAAGTTCACAGTTGAGGGCACGAGAAAAGGCCCAAAGCTAAAGTATCAAGTATTCATTAGACATCATTTGCTAAATAATTGCAAAGCTTCCTTTTTGATCAAATAATCCATTCGCAGGTTGAGCCTGCTGCGCGCAACAGAAGGAGATAGAACCGTGCGGGATACAAGATGGGAAGCAGACATTGGTCTAGCCTGGCAGGAAAGAGACGGACAACGCAGTACACAGCATGCAGCATCAAACGTAACACAAGGGTCTGAATAGACAGTAGCATCATGTCCTTGTATTGAAGTTTAGCATGCCATCCACCGAGACGTTTCGCCCCGTAGTCGTCTCGTGCCCAAAATATACATACATACATACATACATACATACATACATACATACATACAGATCGATATACATACCTACACACACATACATATGTGTATATATATATATATATGCATTATATACATATATAGATACATATATACATATATATATATACACATATATATATATATACATATATATATACATATATATATACATATTAACTAATGTGTGTGTAGTTGTTTGGTTGTGCATATGTGCGTATGTATTTTTTATGCTGTATTCATAGTTACATGTATTCATGTAAATGTAGTTATCGCCACCGGCTTGTTGCTGGCTGCCTGGGTTCCAAAGTGTACAGATGCGAAAGCCGGTTTTCTGTGATTGTGCCATGCTGTTCTCAGAGCAACTGATGCTGGTAGCGTTCT